AGAAGATACAGATACATCTGGTGAGATGGAAGAAGAACGTAGTGAGATTTTGTGAATGAACGTTCGGTAGTCCCTTTTAGTCACTACGATGAGAATATAAAGAGAAACCTTAGTCATGAGCATCAGATGTTTGAGAGAAACGGATGAAGCAACAATGCCTAAGATAGTGCCTTATGTGGATGACCCAGAAGTGTGGAAGAAGTTTATACGAGCCCAGGTAGAAGGTAGAGTCATAGAACACGCTGGATATGGTAGGCGAGGAAAACTCAAGTGGATACCAGTGTCATCAGTCCGCGAACCAATTGTTCAACACGTCAGTCCCACTGAAGCTGTTTATCAGAGGGCAAAGGCAGAAATTGACAAGCAGCAGAAAGAAATGGCTGAACGGGATCGGCCATCAAAGAGAGTTTACAGACAAATGAGTGACAATGATTCCTTTGACCACACCTATAATGGAAATGTGATGAATAGACTTTTTGAGAAACCTAAGAAAAAGAGGGATGTTATGGTGTATTCTGGCCCACCTGGAAAACGTCAACGCAGACAGTGATCATCAACAATGGACTATGAAATAATTTGTATAAATGACAATATGTATATTAAATAAACAACTAAAGCACTAAAATGCATTTTACTGTTATTGTTGGGTTGTTGTTGATAGTGGCGGCTGTGGAGGCGGCGGCGGTGGCGGCGGCGGCGGTGGCGGCGGCGGCGGTGGCGGCGGCGGCGGTGGTGGGGTCGAAGAGTGCAATAATCTGATCTGATTGATTGAAATGGTTCTGCAGCTCATTTGCATATACACTTTGATTGGTCGAAAATGTTCTGCTGTAAAACTGTTAACGTTAGCATTTTTTATTATTTATCTTGTAGGGGTTTATATTTTTATCAGTGGCATGTTAAATTAACAGATGCCTATTAAAGCGTGTTATTTTGTATAGTGGGTGGGTGTCTATTTTGTGAAAATGCCTTAAACTCCAAAAAATTAGCAGAAATCGATCAACAGTGACTGAAATCGCCCAAACTTGACACTTCAAAAAATACTTTAAAATGACCCAGGAGTAAGAATCAAGTGATCGTTTGGTAAAAGAATGCCTGAAACTCCAGGAATCACCAAAAATCACTCAAGCGTGAAAATTGTAAAATGTATCGGGAGTAAGAATACAGTGTCCATTTGGTGATTAAATACCTCAAACTCAAGAAATAAGCGAAAATCACTCAAGCGTGAAGATTGGAAAAATATTCTAAAATGACTCCAAAGTAAGAATCAAGTAATCGTTTGGAGAAAAAATTAGCACAAATTGATCAACTTGACAATTTAAAAATATTCTAAAATAACTCAGGAGACTTTTTGGTTATAAATATTCAATACCTGTCTGAACTTGTTAAATTGTGCAGAAATTCTCCTCTATTGGGAGATTTTCTTTTATCTGATTGGATGAGAATATACCGCAACCCGATTGGTTAAAATTATTCTGAAACTCTAAACATAATTGGTTAAAATAATCCAAACATACTGTGCCCTGATTGGTTAAAATGATTCTGCAAGTCAAAACCTGATTGGTTAAAAATTACTGTACTCTGATTGGTTAAAATAATTCTGCAAGCTAAAACCTGTTTGGTTGAAATGGTTCTGCAGTTATCTTTTTTACTATTTTATCAGTTTGTTATCAACCTTTGACCTATAACAATGAAACATCCATGAAGTAAACAAGATAACTTATCACATAGTCACCAGGTTACCTTAACAGTGATTGTTTGATTATCTTATCAATTGAGCTCTCTCTTATCAATTATCAGTAACCTTTGACCAGTTTGTTTGATTATCTTATCAGTTTACTCCTCTCTTATCAATTATCAGTAACCTTTGACCAGTTATGTTACTCCCAGTGCACATTGCGTCATTTCCGGTGGAACGTGGAACACGTGACCTATGACGTCACTTCCGGTGGAACGTGGAACGTGGAACAGTAAGTACCGGTGCCGGTAGGGGGTCGAAAGGCCCGCCGTATACTACTCATTGCATCACTGAGCTTTCACCAAAATTCTCTTTGGGGAGAAGTAAAGCCTCTCAATATTATTCATTTTTTTCTTTTGCTCCGAGGGACAATTTTAGCCTCCATGGCCTGGAAGCTCTAATACTGACCCAACTAAAAGAAAATAAATGTATATTACCATGAACTCATAAATACGTTTAATGTTAAATCAACGTAAATCTTATTTAATACGTGTTTAGTGAGGTAAGATCAAGATAATTTAAAGAAACAATGTCATGAAAAACGTCGTAAACCTCCTTAACGCCGTATACCTTCAAAGAAAAAATAATTTGTCAAATTTTTTCATTGATTTGGGAAACTGAAGTGTCTGAATGATGTATAAAAATTGCATTGTTAATCTAATCAATATTTCAAGATGTTACGGTTAGAATTATAGAAACTATGATCATTTTTGTGAAAAGATTATAATTTGTTGTGCTTTCTAGAAGGTTTGAGAAGTTCAAGACCGTGTTCGGACGAAATTTTGAGACGCAGTGATACAAGAGGTATATCTGCATGGTATGGTCAATGTTTCTACGAAAGGGAAAGAACCATATTCTGTCAAAACGTCGAAATAAATGAGTACTTACAAATCTCCCGCTTCACGAACCTACGTTCGTTTATTTATGTGTAAAAATGTTTCCCTTGAAGTGTGTTTTTGCGTGTAACACATACATAAAACAACATGAAACAATACAGGTACCATTGGTGTATGTTATCAAAGTGTATTAGTTCATATATTCAATGCACTGACCTGTGGGTTCAGTAATCAGCATAATAATTTATAGACTTTAACCCGTTCGTCGAATCGATGTAATTGACAATTGCTTACTTCCGTATCGCGTTCTTATTGGTTAATGTGTGTGCCATATACCGCATGTGAATCTGTCATACAACGCAAGTGAATATGCCATATTCGTAGTGGAATATGACATATATTTGTATTGTGTTTACCGCGTAACAATTGTACACAAAAAAGTGAATGGTGAAGTGACACAAGCAACTCGATTACATTATCTGGTCGTGGTCCTATTAAATGGCATCTTACGTCGTAGTATTTAACCCGGTGTCAGAGTAAATATAGTCTCCCTGAATATATAGTCCGTAGGACCATACACCCTAGGACACCAGGTCCTATTTTCTGTATTGGTATACAATATAACCCCGGACTATATTTACTGGCGGACTATAAATACGTTGATATAAATACGGTTAGATTTTGGTCCTATCTGTTATCTTTATTTTTAATGTATAGATGTCGTACTATAGTAGTTCTTTAATCTATACTTATATGATATCTTATCAATGAATTCAAAAACACTGATGGCATCCAATCACCTTTAGTGTAGTGGTTAGAACAGTCTTCTGACTGCTGTCTATGGTGTGGATCAACTCCCACTCTTTCCTTATTTTTTTTATTTCTTTACTATATTCTGTATAAAATGGAACTAAACTGCATTGGCATATTCGTTTCCTCAATTTGTTGTGATGATTTTTAATACTAATTCACGTAAAGGAGACTATACTTTCTACGTAATTCTGTCCCTGAGACAACTTATTCTTAATTTTCAAGATGTACGTGTCCATGCGGACTATATTTTCTGGTTGCTCCAGTCCCCAGGACAACTTATCCTAATTTTTCTAGTTATAGATGTCCAGGGAGACTTTGTTATCTACTTACATTTGTCTAGAGACTATAAAATACTGGGTGGTATAGTCCCATTGGTAATACAATCAGTCAACATTACATAAAATACCGTGTTTTTTACAGAATGTTTTCAATGATTGGTTTAAGACAAAAACATTGTTGAATTCAGTTGTCCATATCAATACCAATCCTTTGTGCCTTGAATGAAATCGAATAAATATTCATTTCGTTATTATGTTCTATTTTCACAGAAAAATGAAATGGCAAGGGTGACAAAAGATCATGGCATTATTATTTTATTATTTCTCAGGACTAAGAAAAGAACTAAGAAAATATGGTCCGGTGTGACTTGTAAGAGACCATAATTTGGTATTTAAAGTCCGCCCCGGACACCCAGTTCTAGCACACGGACTAAAATATCTAAGGAAATATAGTCCATCAGACTTGTTATTCTAGATAATATAGTCCAGGACAATATTTTCCAGGACTTATAGTCCAGCGGACCATATTTAGTACGGTCTATATATACGTTGACACCGGAAATAACCTTCATCCACCAAACGTGGAGAACGCCAATGGGCTTATTCTCCATTCCAAGAACCTGTTGAAGTTTGCGAAACGCAAATTTCTGTGAGGACAGTTATATCATTACTGTATTATTTTCCAAGTGAAATAGGTTAACTAACGTTTACGATAGCTGATGTAGTGTTACTGTACCTTTTAGTTAAAGTTAAGGATTTAATTGAGAAGTGCAAATGTTTTCAATTTTAAACAAATCATTCATCAAATAACCTTGACGATCGACGATTAATTTAATTTAAATGAATTATCTATCTATATATTTCATGAGACATATAGTGGTTAACTAATGCTAATGTCTGCTGTTCACATCCAGTCGCCGTCTATGATCGGTTACTGACCGGCAGTGAATCTTTTCAATGTTCTCCTAATTTTAAACGGAAAGGACCACGAGTTGTTTGTAGAATGAATCTGGGGAGGTTTTTCATGCATTTTCATTCTTTGAGGAATTTCCCATAGTAATCCGATAGTATGGTATATGCACACCTTATTGGGTTGTTATGGTTTAGGACAAGCCAATGAGGTGTGTATTAATTATCAACTTTCCTTTTATCTCAAAATCTACTTGGAACTTTACCATTGAATTACTATGGGAAATTCGTCAAACAGAAAATTCTTGGGATTAAAAGAGACTCATCTCTAACCTAGCCGATTTGGGGGTACCCTGAAGGGTTTCATATATGCTTTCATTTAATGTAAAAAACATTGAATGTTCGCCATCAAAATATTTCATTACATCGTCTAAAAGATGGGTGTGACGTTACGGAAAAAACGTCTCAATTTACCTGCTTCGCTAGAATACGCTTGCTTTAAAAGCGGCACGTTCTTAATTTATCGATGAATGATAGGAAAATCGTCAAACGGCCACCACGATTGTTTTTAATTTACGGCATTTGATAAGCTGAGGCCTTTTGATGCCAATTATTTTTCATGGGTACAAATAAAGCATGGTAAGAACAGCTAAGATAAAGGATTTTGACCCCTTACCCAAGTTCGGCAATGCAATTGACGCCATATAAAAATTTTAATTGTATTCCAATTTTCATAAACTTTGACATTTTTAATTGTATTCCAATTTTCATAAACTTTGACATTTTTTGAGGAAAAAACTAAAACATTGACATATTGTTCTTATTGTTTCAAATAATACTTCACGTACCCCTTAATAACATTTGAAAATATATAAAGGTTCCACCGTCGATTTTTTTCTGTTATTTATTTTCGGAGTTTCGGCTTTTTCCTATATTTTCAAGAATTTCATCAATTATCACCAACAACTTTTTTAGTGCGAAACGGAAAGCCGGTTAAGGTATTTTTTCAGCAAATGGAATTTAAAAAAATCAAGACATATGCATCTTAGCCCAGTCAATAATGGCTCGATAGTTCGCGATCATATATATTCTTAGATTTTTGGCACATAGACTAATATGGACATTCTAAAAATTTTGATCCGCATTGCCAAGCGCGGATCGCACTCCTTCTTGGTGAAAATCCAAGATGGCCGCCAAAATTGCCGACAATTATATAATATTAATTTGATAATTTTTTTCATTTCTTTTTTTTCAATAAAATGTGGTTAATTAGTATTTTTCAACATCAATTTATAATATTTCTACCCTGAAAAATATTTAGATTATCTAAAAAGAAGATTTTGGTTGTTCATTCCCCCCATTTTTAAGATTTCGTCCAAATTTTCGATAAATCATTAAAATGTGTACATTTCATATATACTGTAGTACTGCACCTATCATATCTCTATCCTTTTTTCATCAGAATATATTAGGTTTGATTCTTTTCCAAACAATATTTAGATAAACACATAATGAAGAATGTCCCCCATAGCGCCACCTATTGGTGAAATTGTTCAAAATCAAAACTGTGTTTTATAATATATTGAACTGTTGAAGGAAGCGTGTAATAGTTTGGAGAGCCAAGATTTGATCTGTATCATGTACCATGCATAATAAAAAACTATTCTATAGTATTATTTTTCAGTAGAATGCCAACTCTTAAGATGTCAACCATATAAATTTGGGGGGGGGGGTAAATAGGGGGTATCTTGCATTATCTTGTATCTTGCATTACTTTAGTTATTTTAATGAATACTCTCCATATTTGAACCCTTACTTTAGTTATTCTAATGAATACTCTCCATTACAGGCACACAATGATGTGCATACTAGAGCAGCCTTCAAGCTGGTACATCTTGATGGGAAACAGTGCTTCTGACAACCACACTTTACCAATGGTTGACTAGCATCAGTCATCTGCTTTAAGGTAGTCCTGTGTGGCTTCTAAGTGTTGTCTCTTGGCTCTGTTCTCCAGCCCCAGTTCTTTGGAGATGGAATGATACCCGGGGAATGATAGGATTTGGTTTGTTAAACTGACCCCAGATATATATGTACACCTTGGTACAATGCTCCCCTTGCAGTGTTGCATTAAGGCGTCAGCTGTTGGAGGAATGTGGTCAATAATGAAGTAGTCTTTAGTAAAAATGTATTCTTTCTTGCAGTGTTGATTGAGGTGTCATTGCTGAATTTATCATACAGCAACATAACATTAATAAAGGATCATCTATTAGACTGAGGAGTGCATTCATCAGTTGTGAAAATGAGTTTCATCTGTCCCATGCTATAATTCTGCCCCTGTTTCCATGGAATCAAGGTGTAACTTGTCAATGAGTGGAATAATGGCAGACATAGACTTTTTGAGGCCCAATGGAATTCACCATTTCATGTGCTGCCAAGTACCTGAACTGTCAAATCCAACTCATATTGGTTCATTCAGAAAAAATGTGTTGATTGCGTGCAAGATTATTTGTCTTTGGTGGATTGTTTTTGTGGATTGGCACATGACATCCTGATCAAAGGTTGCGAGAAGTCTTTTTCGTTCATGAATAATTATATTGCTCACATTTGCAGTAAGGATTTGAAACAGTTCTCTCTTGTTTTACTCCAAGCACAAACAATCTTGCCAGTTTCTGTTAGGGAATTTTCAGGATAAATATGCCTCCTTTTACTGTTTCCTCTCTTATTTATTATACCAGACTCTAAACTGTTACATGTAGTTTCATAACTGTCCAAAACAATATCTAGATGGTATGATTTCGTTATGTCATGTGCCTTGTTGTTTTAGTCAGTTTAGTTTCCCTTAATGAATTCACCAAGCACTGATTGGTGTGTTGCGTTAAATTGGTTCATGTCACGGATAAAACTGGTAGCCACCTTGACTAGTTTGTGTGATTGAGTATAAAAAGGCATGGCAACAACTCAGAAAGGGTATCTTTGTATAGGCTGAAGTTGCCCTCTCAAAAGTTTAAGATCCATTACCATCGACCAGAACTTAAATTGGAAAGAGCCATTCAGCTGGGACTGTTTTTTCACCCAGTCATCCAACTCAAACTGAGGTTATTCATCAAGATCACAACACAAACAATGTGTCTCAAAGGCTTTTTTGTCAAGAATATAAAGACTACAGGCAGTGATATGATGTGTTCTGCAAGTTAGTGCGAGATGGTTAACTTTGATAAAGGAATCAGCTTTATCAAATGTGGCTATGGCAGCTTGAGAGAGGGAGATTGTCCATCCAGGGTTCTCTCATAGATTGCCCAAGATGTGAAATGCTCCCATCTCAGTGTGTATTCCACCAAGTATCCTTATCAGCTTCGCTTTTTCTCCAATCTCCTCTTGCCATTGTCCACTATTACTGCTTGAACAGTGCAAAGAGGGGCTGTTCGGCAGCAAGTACAGGTGTTTGGTCTGGGTTGATATAATTTGTTGACTTTATACACGTCAACATGAGAGACAATGAATATTAGACTTTAAACTGACTTCAATATAACTAAAATGGAGAAAATTGTAATACAGTTCTGTTATACTTCAGAGTGCAGAAACACTCAGAAAATCAAGATGGGTGACATGCCTCAATATATACCCACAAACCTTATCCCCACTTACATACCCCCTCCCCCTTCATATAACTCTCATTTCTACTTTCTACAACTTACATGTTGTTGAATCTAGAAACAATAACATTTTTATTCCAGATAACAGTTACTTAAGAATAAGCAAATTGGGTCAGCATGAATAAAATAATAATAATTATTAATTTATGTTTCAGTTTAATGCATATACCTATAGGTGGGGCTGCACAACACTCGTCTTTATTGGCTATAATGAAATATTTTGACAGATATATGTTGAATGTTATCACTAAGCATTGATAAAATATAAACTTGTCAAATTTTATTGAAAAGAAGAAGTGAATAAGGGAATAACGCAGATGCGAGTAGGTAGTTACCATTTTCGCCACCAGGTGGCTCGTTCGGGTCAGATAACATGGCGGGTATAGTAGAAAGTTCCCTTTAACTTAAATTACATCTGTTTTAATAGTTCAATTTTTATATAACCCTTATGTATCCAATAGTTATGCAAATTAAAATATGTCCAGTAAAAGAAAATGTTAACTGTCCAATACAAGAAAAGATATTTCACTTTTTGTGATTTTGTAACATGGGGTCTATGAGGAATCAACCCGAGCTAGAAGTCACATTTCAAAAAAAATTAAGTTTTCAAAGTTGATAAACAATTTTCGAAACCATTTTTCTAGAAGTACTTTTACATGTAGATTTCAAATATGACATCACTTTGACTGAATTTTGAATATTTAATGACGTAAATCAAGATTATTTCTATTCGCATCTAGTCTATTGTTTATTATTTTGACGTTAATTTTTGTATGATTTTATCAAAAGGTGGTGCTGTAAAAGCAATTTCTTATATTTATAATAACTGTTTGGTGGGAATATTATTAAATAATAACTGAAGACACTAATTTATCACATTTTATTGAAATAAAAGCAGAAAAAAAATTATCAAAAAAATATTCTTATTTGACGATTATTTTGGCGGCCATTTTGAATTTTAACCTCGAAGGAGATAGAATCGTGCTTGGCAATGCGGATCGAGATCTTTAAAATATCCATATTAGTCTGTGTGCCGAAAATCTAACATTTTCATTACAGATAACAGTTATTTAAGAATAAGCAAATTGGGTCAGCATGAATAAAATAATAATCATTAATTTATGTTTCAGAGCAGTTCAATGTATATACCTATAGGTGGGGCTGCCGAACACTCTTCTTTATTGATTATAATGAAATATTTTGACAGATATACACTGTATGTTGAATATTATCAGTAAGCATTGATAAAATATAACCTTGTCTTTTATTGAAAAGAAGTAGTGAATAAGGGAAATGTTTGTTATTTTGACGTCAATTTTGGTATAATTTTATCAAAAGATGGTGCTATTAAAGCAATTTCTTATGTTTATACTTAATAAAAAATTCATTTGGTAGGAATATTATTAGATAATACCTGAAGACACTAATTTATCACATTTTATTGAAATAAAGGCAGTAAAAAAAATTATCAAAAAAATATACATATTTGACGATAATTTTGGCGGCCATCTTGAATTTTCACCATGAAGGAGTGCGATTCGCGCTTGGCAATGCGGATCAAAATTTTTAGAATGTCCATATTAGTCTGTGTGCTGAAAATCTAAGAATATATATGATCGTGAACTATCACCATGTTAGAAACCCATTAGTGATTTGACTATCTCCTTAAACATTGCTTCAAATGTTGCTGCGCTATAGTGTGCTACGGATCCTTCATATTCGGAAGTCATACCATGGACTTAAAGCCTATATACTGGACGAGCGTGGTGTAAAAGTCAGTGGTTTTGAAAAATGGCAAATTTCTCTTTATGTAGATTAATTGTGGTTTATTATTCTACATTGATTCTAAAAACTATTGGTGTCTAGTTTTCAGCGTTTTTGAAATATGTAGATTTATACCCCCTGGTGTGATTTTAAGGGGGTACTAGGAAAGCCATGTATATATACAGTACAACCAATCATCTTGATATTTACAGGTAATCATCTACTTATCATGTTCTACCATAATGACAAGTTTCATCAAAGTTGGTCAACTGGTTGCTTTGGTAACGGAGATCATATGTTAAAAAAGTACACATTTTCGTAAAACTCTAAAAAAATGCCTCATGCACCCCCCCCCCATGAGAAATCCTAATTACGCCACTGCTAATTCAATTGAGTAACTTTTAATCAGAGAATTGCATTTTGGGTCACTCTGTAGAATTCAGCAGGAGGTCTATTATTATACCTTCATATGGTAGTGACACCTATTAAACAATAAAGTTCCTCAAAGAAAGCTACAAAGTAAACCTAATTTACCGGTTACGAATTTCTAGCTTTATATCCACAAAACATATGTACCACTCTCCTGAGATTGAAACTTTTATGTCATCTGAAGTTACAGTCCACCAGGATGAGTTCACTAATTCTAAAGATGCTCAATGTGATAAAATTAAAGAATTATTGGACAAGACCACGGCACAGGACACAATCATTTTCACGGACGGATCAGCTCAGGGAAATCCAGGGCCAACGGGGGCTGCTGCCATAATCTACATCAATGGACTCAGCTCTACACCGATCTGTCTAGGTAAACCAGTGTCGAAACAAGGTAATAATTACCATGCCGAGATCTACGCACTACGTCTAGCCATGGAATTCACCTGCAATTCACAAACAAACAAGAATATCATAATATTGAGTGACTGCCAACCAGCCATCATATCATCATTCAATTCCACCAAACTAAAATCACTCAACCAGGACATTCTCTGCATAAGGGACAAATGCAAAACTCTTATCAGCCAAGACAAAATATTGAATGTCCACTGGGTCCCAGGACATCTGGGAATCACTGGGAATGAATTGGCAGACAAGTCAGCAAAGTGTGCTGCTAAATGTACTAATCAACTTATGCCATCCAATGCAACAAAATCAACAGCATATAAACTGATAAAAGATAACTCTTTATTAATATGGCAGAGAAGATTCAATAATTCTGTCAAAGTCAGTCAGTTACAACCAAGTATCACCAAGGTTAAAACTAAAAAACCCATTATAGCTATAGGTAATAGAAAAGCCCGCAATGTTATAAATCAGATCATATCTGGCCATACAAAGCTCAATAGCCATCATAGTAAGATCAATCCCAATGTTGAATCTCCGAACTGTCCTCACTGCAAAATCCCTGAGACTATAAAACATTATGTTTTTGACTGTTCCAGATTTGAGACACAGAGGGAACAATTGATGGCAGATGTCAACTTTCTACTTCTGGGAGTAAATCATAACCCATATATCACCATCAGGACTCTAACTGGCCTAGATAGTGAAATTGACGACAATATAAACACTAAGATCCTCCAGAAATTCCAGGCTTATATAGCCTCGACAAGGAGATTCTAAATTAAAGAACTTTGTATATAGTAGGAGATAGTGACTCTTTCTCAGGTTAGCTGAAGTAAGCTAACTCATCTACATTTTTATTAAGCTTTCAACTCCTAATACATCAAAATTAAGCGCTCTCTCTCCAAACCACAAGTACAAAGTATAAGTGATAATTACAAGTGAGAAATGAAACACAAGTGATAAACTGTAGCAAGTGTTCAAAGGCAGCATAACAGTGCCAATGGCCTTAGACACAAAGGCCTAAAGGAAGAAGAAGAAGAAGAATATCCACAGTGAGTGTAAGGATGGAATTCAAAATAACATAATTAATTTTCTTATGAAATTTATTACAGAAATATATACTTTATCAACAAACAAAGTACGTTTAACCCAATATATCGATTTGTAATCAGTTAATATAATTTACTTTTAAGTCACATTTATAAACCGCCATTTTGTTTTGTGAGATGAATCAAAGTTGAAAAGTTTTTCTTATTTTTTTGATCAATACGTCGTATCCTGAGGTCAGAAACTATGCATAGTAATACATGAGGTACGTTATATACTTTGATAAAGTACTAAAGTCATGGTTTAGATTTCATTTGTCAAAATATATACTTTATTCTTTGCATTTGTTTTGCTTCGTTTCATTTTTCCTTCACAAACTTTTCCTCAGTCTCAGATTCAAACCAAAATAGTAAGGTCTAAGTGTTATTTACTGTATGTTTTGCAATTGTATTAAATATAAGATGTATTGTTGAAAACGTAAACGTGTATATATTTGATATTCGTAAAATTCCTAGAATTGTGGCCTATACACTCATTCTACAAAAAGCGTGACAAAAGTCTGTCAAAAAAAATTCGAAATAAAACTCTAAAACCGAACTAATTTCAGTGCTTACGTTAAAGTTTGTAGTTGACTTGTTATTCTGGCAAAGTTTGGGCAGCCTCGCTTTCGAAATGCGGAAGTTGTAATTGGCAGAAATATACAAACGTCAGGTCAAAATTTTCACTTTCGCCAATTTACGAGTCATCGTCTTGTTAGGTATACAGCATTAATGTGTATTGATATAGTCAACAATTGTATTGGAAGAGGAAAATAAATGTTTGTTGCATGTATTGTTCAAAGAGTATCAAAAATTACATCGATTCTTAATTTTTCAACAAGATGTACGTTAACTGACCCAGGGTCTACACCCCAATAAAGCATAAAGTACGATGTATTGTTTATTATAAAACTGATGCCATGCATCATTCTCGTCATTCATGTAGATAAATTAGGAACTTCAAACTATGCATAATTACGCTACAAATTATGGCTATCGAGTATTGACTGCCCTTTTTGCTACATCTCTTAAGATAATGTCCTGTAGATTGCCATATTTTGTCCCGTATATTGTATTATGTATAAAATGAATAAGACTTGATTATGGAATCAACATAAATGTACTTTATCTTCAGATGACACAAGCAAAGCTTTGAATGTTATTTCTCTTAATTAAACTCCCACAACAGTTCAGGAAAGACTGAATTACAACAAAAGTCTCGTAAATTGCATACTCAGTCGTGATGCTGGTAGCAACTGTCCAGAAGACAAACATGTATGTAACAATTTCAACCACAACATTATTTGTTGTGCAATTACTAGTATGTAAATACCATTGAAATAAATGTGAGCCATAAACGTCATGCATTGTTCTGTCCTTTTACTGTTCACAGTGCAAAATGACTCGTAAATTAGGCACTTATGCTAGAGTCTTAATTACACAATAACAAGTTCTGTATGCAACAATATTGTATGTACAAATTATCGTATATGCGCATGTCAAAGAAATTAAGTCAGACCACCATAGTGTATCTCTGAATTAATGTGCTTCCAAGTTTTAATCTCAGTTTGAGAAACTTTAAATTTGATATCTTCTCCTGCCAATTGCACTGTTGATTGGGGAGGAAACCGTTAGGTGTGAAACATTCTTCACACACACATGTAGTATCTCTGGTATGGAGAGATACGCCATCACCAGACTTCGAAGTGCAAACCCCGTGGAGTTGCATGGTACCATTGATGGGTTTTGAATTTTTATATTCAACAAGCTGGGACACACTTATCTCATACTCATCTTTGGTGACAAAAATATAGTTAATATGCTGGGATTCTTGGAGAGCCCAGCACAGGAATTCATTAGCATCTTGTATTGAAAACCCACGTTTAACAGCGTTATCCGCATCTCGTTTAGCAACCCCGCCAATCCCATCACATGGTCCTTTGCCATGGCCTGCTTCGAAGTATTGCCAAGATGCCGAACAGCCAAACCGTATTTCATGATGCATCACAATATAAAAAATTGTTTTGTTTCGATATTGGCTACTTGGGGAATCTGTGAAATAATGTACCCTCTGTACATCTGATACCTTTTCTTTGACAATAGGTATTAATTTTTCAATGATAGAATTGACCATTGTGGCATTGTGACTAAGAACATCACTTAAAAACACGTAGTTCAAGTGGAAAAGTTCTCCACCATCTTCCACCTTGTAGTATACAACACACGGGTGTAGAGTAACCATCGTTTGGTTCCAATAACCACTTTGGACCTCTTCTTGAACTTGACATGTATAGTTTTCCGCAAAATCCATTTGAATAATTACATCGCGACTTGACATGTTTAGTTTCATCTGCTTGATAGCATAGTATTGCTTTTTTATTTTATCCACATGTTCCACAAAAGCATTATACTCATTCAACATTATATCACTAAATTTTGCTCTTTCTACTTTTGTAGAGATAATTTTGCATTTCAATTTATCATCTACTTTAACCCTTTTCCATTCTTGGAATGTAACGGTTTCTTCAGCTATATTTGAAAGTGAAGTGGCTAACTGGTCTGAAGAAACATCCCTAACAAATACATCTGGATTGATGCAGGTAAAGAGATTTAATTTCTTAAGACACTGTAGTTTAAGAGTAAAATTCTGATGCTTCTGACACAGACAAGTTGATCTTGATGAAAAATTGACAAGAGTGATGAAGGAGGGACGCAGCCTGCAGAATAGAGCCCTGGATATTCTGTGCCTTGGTAACTCACTCAGGTACTTGAGATGGAGGTTGTGTAAGTAATCATTTAATACCCTCTTCTGACGAACCTGAAACATTGCATTACATCATTAAAATAACTTAACACAAAAAGTTAATAATTTGCAAATTTTCGATTTACTAGTATTTCATATATCTTTTTCAAACAACTAGAAAATTTTCAAATTATTAACTTTGTGCTTAATACAAATAAACAAATACTAGGACTTAACGTTAAATGAAAACAATCACACATTGGTGATAACTGGATAAAGCGTTTCTTATGAATTTAAATGGTTTACTCGCATATTAAATGTTGCAATATGAGCTTTAAGAACCTATCACCCCTATATAGCATAATGGACCAGTCTATGTAAAATATATCTATGTAGTTTTGAATCTGATACTTAAATATAGTGTTAAATGTCAACAACAGAATGTATTTACTAGTAGAATACTATGACATGTATGAGAAAATGAATACCGTTCCATCCTTGGATTTGGAGAAGTCTTGTTTTCCTGGCATCATTCTGGAGTTATCGTCTCTTTCAAAAAATTCAATCACATCACTTCTTATCTCATCATACTTTTTCTGATTGCCAATCTTTCTTGCCTTTTTCTCTCTCAATTTTCGCCATGTATACCCAGAGTTCCTAAGCTGATTTGCCAACTTGTATTTTTTCAGGATCCTTCCAGAAATAGGTTTTTTTTGGTTTGATTGTTTAAGCTCATCACTGACGCACTCTGAGAAAATAAGTTTTTTTCTAATTGTTCTAGGCACTTTGCTTGGTGAAAATCCAGATTTTTTGAGAAGTTTATCTGTTTTGCTTCTTGGGGTATTAGCGGGTTTTAAGTCATTTACTTTTTTTCTTAACCTAGAAATAATTTTTCTATTCTTTGCTGATGTCTTCTGAAGGCGTTTAATTTTTCCGTGAGCCCTAGATAGTGCACGATTGACCCTTTTCCTGCCACTACTCTTTCTTGATTTATCTATACTGTCCATCAATGATGGCAACTGTAAATAACCAGTTGTTGAAGTAACTTCATTCTCGCTACTTGAAGAAGGCTGTGGAGTAGAGCTGTCATTCGGTTTTTGACGTTTGTTTCTAAAGTTTTGCCAATTGTTCCTGTTTATAGCTTGTTTTCTTTTTCTATCTTTTGCTGGTAGTAGTTCTAGGGGTATATAATACTTTTTAACACGTTCGCGTTCTTTCTTTAGCCAGTCCTCTCCCATTTCTTGTTTCTTTCTCTCCCTATATTCTTTCATCCTCTGTGCTTTACTCTTTGCCATTGTTGCTGCAAATAGTTACTAGTTATAGTATTCAGACTGAATTAAGTTACTTAGTAATGCATGGGAAATGTGTCATATACAAATGGAAGCAATGCTTCATAATTTGAGTGTTATTAATGGGTTCAAAGTAAGGTACAACAATTACAATTTACAAGGCCAATTTACGGGACTCATTTTGTGTACCGTACTGTGATATTGTGATGAATATGTTGGTATCATTTTTGGAGGAAATAATAAATTTAGACATTATATAAAGCTGAATTCGCAAAATCATTTCGATTATATCAAGTTTGATCCGTATATCCAATCAACTTTAGATAGGTGTAATTACACAATATACGGGACATGACACAATATACGGGACATCATCAATTCATGATGTTGGAACATACGTGTGCATATCAAAGCAATAATTTTTCACGTTTTTCAGTCATATATTCTTTATTCATGCTATAAGAAGTGTAAACGTATCATAAGCTATCTTTATTTGAAGAGAAGAGCGACGCTTCACTGGTAAGGGGTGATAAATTACACAATATTAGTCACAAAACAAAATGCCTACCTTTCTCTTTCACTTTTCTTTCACTGTCGTAAAGTAGGATGTCGTACCCTATTATTCAATGCTGATTTATCATTAATTTTCGTATCTAATTTTAGGGGTTGTCCCGTAAATTGTGGCTCGTAAATTGTGCAATGCCGTCTTTTGGACCATGTGCCAATAAGGAAATGGACTGAGGTGCAATGTTTGTACATACGATTGAGTATTTAGTCGCCTATCCTTTTGCTAGATACATTGATATGTGTATGTGTCTGTATATTGTCAGAATTGGGTGCTCGTAAATTGGCAAGTAAAATTTAACGTTTTTGTTTTTGTTATTCCTTATCATGCTGTTGACTCTTGGTTGAATTATATATTAAAATCACGATTCATAAATATTAACCTCTCGGGTATGAATCATTTTGCGTGTTAAAACAGGACATAGGGGTCAGTTATCGTGTCAGTATTGTACCATATCATAGTCTGACTCGTAGATTGCCGGAAATGAGTGACTTTATTCAAAATCCCCAAAACATCAGAAAATAAACAAAACTGATGGACAATAAGCAGTAAAGTAAAGCAGAAGACCCCCTTACTACTGTGGATGTGATACATTGGGTGGATCCTATCGCATAATACCATAATGGAAGAATGAATTAAGAAATTCAATTTTGTGACACCTTGTTTTCAAGACCCCTATCGTAATTTCCGGCGTGAGACAACAATAATAAACACAACACAGGTGAAACAATCGTATTTTTTTATTTCTAATATGGTAAAGAACATAAAACACATGATATAACAGGTATGGAATCTGTTTATTATGATATATATACAAGATAATGTGTGTGACAGCAAAAATCACGCTTTTTGTAGAATGAGTGTATAGTTTTTGGATTCATCAGAATTGTGGCTCACACTTTTTGGGATTCCCTGGCTAATCGCCTTACTAATGTATTCCTTCAACATGCAAAACCATATTGGATAAAGTCTTCAATGACACACGGGAACACCATGACAGCGGTAAAGTCAGATATCATTGTCACAAATAGCGAACCACCATTTCAATTTTTTATCACTTGGTTCTTATTTCATAGGACCCTATTGTCGCTGATTCTGTGCTTGTATCAGTTTTTGTGATGATGTTTGATATGCAATCCCAATGTTGATCAGAATAGGTCGTGAATCGCCACAGTATACCTTCTACCACATGGTCGATGACATGTACCATTGTCTTTCTGGATACCATTCTCAAATCCAACCGCACGCCGTCATCTTGATTTTATAGTACATTTGACCCACATTTACCATTGTCATTTCTTCAGTTCCGTTGTCCTGTGTCATATTTTGACACTATGTTTCTTTGTTAGAACATATTTAACTATGCGATGAGTAGAAAGATTGTTGTACCAGAGGAAATAATCTACAGTAAAATTTTAAATGTTTGGAAGTACTTTGAATTCAAAAAATAATCAAACAAATGACCAAATTGAAACAGTATATAAGAAATACCGTATTCTCTGTAATTACCGCCCACTCTCTAATAAGCGCCCACCCCGCTTCACAAAGTTCAAGAAACATCGAGGAATCAACAAGAATTGAAGAATATATCAGGAAAAAAATATTTCTCAAAATCCAGGAGCGGGCGATAATAGAGTACTTACCCTAAAACTGCTGTAAACACGACGCGTTTTGTAATTCTATGCATCCTCTCGATACATATCTATCGATGGGTGCTTCCCACACCATACCATGCTAATATTGTCTCCAAATAGTCCATAATGAATGAAGGAATTGTTCTTTATCGGCATTCAGAAATTTCAAAAGCTACTGCGCAGATGTTCTGCGCATGTCAAGGTCGTGAACTTTCTGGTTTCTTTTTAATGTTTCTCGACTTTTACACGACTTTTGCACGAATAATGATGATCTCTCATCAAATTAGAAATAATGTATAACTTTAGATCGATATCCAGCAGTCTCTAGTGGAAATATTGAAGGAAATAAATTAGACATAGACGGGTCTTCAACCACTGTCAATATTGTCTAAGCGATCTTTACCGTATTCTCTCCAATAACAGCACTTGTCATATTATTATAAAAATATGTTGAAGAAAATGCATTCTTGTCAAGAAAAATTGCCATACATGAAATTCCTCGGGATTTCTGATTTCTTTCATACATGGGCGCTTATTAGAATGGTCTAAATAATGTATTTTCAATTTTCTAAACGCCCTGGGCGCTAATTACAGAGAATACGGTAGAAACATACATGTATGTACAATGTTTACAGAAACCTTCAGTCAGACAGTACATGTGTAGACATTGATGTGCATATGAATACAAATTACATGCAGTGTTATTAAAAGCATACATCACATATTTACAGTAAAATTTTAAATGTTTGGAACTACTTTGAATTCAAAAATAGGCAAACAAATGACTATGTTGCAACAGTATATAAAAAATAGAAACATATGTACAAGTCCTAACTTTTGTATATTTCAGAAAGTTATGGATAATGTGCGCAAAGGCCTTTTGTAATTTAGGGAGTTTCAGCCATGTTAATTTTTCCAAAAATAACATGGCAGAGAAGCATCAAAATATAAGAGGCCACAGATATGATAGCCAAACTACAAAAAACTAGAATATACAAAAGTTAAGACATGTTTAAATGTTTCTATTTTTACATATACTGTTTCAATAGCATCCTTCGATTGCTTATATTTTAAATTCAAAGTACTTACAAACATTTAAAATTTTACTGTAGGAGCTCTATTTAACATTGCAGTTAATCAAAATCAAATTAAATCTGAATTTTTATTGTTGTCATATTATAGATCCTTATATGTTATTTCAGGAACTATGATGTGAAGTGTTTGCTAAAACCTGTTCTCCAAAATGGATATTCCACGGAATACAGCATCCGTAGACACAATCCAAAGCCATGATGAATCAGCATCATTAGATCCTTCAGTATGTAGCACAGAAAACCCTCCTCAGGATGATCACTTCGCCATAAGCGAGGCAAATTTCAACCAGGGGCAGCTAAAACTAAAAATATCAACTATACGGAAATCTGTATCTGAAGAAAGTTCCAAATCTGAAGATGACTCCACTGATATTGTTAATGATGCTGTGTTACTTGATGATTCAAAAATGTTAGATTCTTCTGACTCCAAATGCCAGGTTGATGAAAACTCCCGGGGTGATTCCAAGTTACTCAATGAAACAGAATCTTCATTTGAAAGCTCAGAGGATGTAAACAAGGTAATTTTTTATTGTACTTTATCTGAACACTAACGGTGAAATCCTGTTCATACATCAAGGCATTGAAAGTCCATAAACACTTGTGGTTCAGTGGTTAGTTGACATTAAAGTATATGTGATAAACTCATTGTGAGTGATAAATCCCTTCAATAAACAACCTAGAATAGAGGTCTATTGTTTCCAATTAATATATTGAATAAATTCTCTGCAGCCACTAGATGCTACAATCTGCAGCGTTTTACCTCAAGAATTTTGAACCAGGACTCCAATTAATGCATACCTTACTTTTCCATGACAGTGTTCTCGCCAGAAACTTAGTAGAACCCAAAGAGAAAAACTTGCCACGTATGCAACTTTGTGGCAGTGGGCTAAGAACTATTAAGAACTCTGAATTTGGTTTTAATGTTGTAAAAACATTCCATCCTTAAGCCAGTAAACTGTTTACATCCAATCAACATTCCAGGTGAAACATCAACATGCATGATTTGATTTATGGTTGTAACTGTTATAAATTGCAAAGTTAAAGTGGCAACAAAGAAGAAAAAATAGAGTGTAAAATGTAAAAATCAAAACAGTTTTTATCAGGCCTCCTAGACTTTGACTTAGGCAGTCATCAGTTCCGACCTCGCTGACCTCGTTCCTTCCACCCGAACCACATGCACAGTTATCACAATGCAAATATAGATTCTTTAGTCGCGAACCATCAGTTCCTCTTTATCTTCTTTCTCTACGTGCGCACTCGATGCACGATTGTTCACATTGTGAGAATGTTGTTCAGGTGCAAGGTATGTTGTCAGCAAGGTCAGAACTAATAACCGGCCGAGTTGAAGTCTAGGAGGCCTGTTTGTGAGCACACAAATGTCACATTCCTATTTTTTTCTTTAATTTGACAAGAAAATGCAGATATTTTTTTTAAGTTTTGAAAGTGATGAAATATTTAGGATCCAAAAACATTAAAATTTATTAAAAAGTGAAGAGTATTTTTTGAAATTTATTGCCAAATTTACTTTGATAACATGCAACATCTTGACATAAAGTCAGAACTATTGGATTGTTTAGAAAAGCATAACAGCAAGTGTTGTACGCTAAAAAATTACTCTCAACTAATAAATGAATATGTTGAACATGTGTTTGGAGACAGTAGAACCACATTAGAATGATAGTGTTTTATATTCGCATGGTTCATGAAGATGCTGCCCTTTAGGCAAATATCTGTATAAATGGAGACCTGAATTGAGTTCCAACTGAGGGCTTTCAAATGAAATCAGACCTCCACAATATAAAAAGATATTCTAAATATGAAAATCTAATGTGAACATTTCTCTATGTCCTGATAATTCTTGAAGTATATGCAAATAATATTAGGTAAACGATTCTCTACCCTGGGGCTAGAAGTAATTATTTCACGATTCTCTACCCTGGGGCTAGAAGTAATTATTTCACTCTGACTATTACAAATTATCGTCACCACCAGAAGTTGTGACATATTGTTATAGTCTCCAACTTTTTGTGAATGGTGTTTGGTGAGTGGTGGTCAGTGTTTAGTGTATAGTGTATAGTGCTTGGCACCAGTAACAAATAGCAGGTGGTGACATTTTGCATGTTATTGCATTGTTTTATTTTTGATGCTGATTGGGCCTTAAAATAATATCTTGTCATTAATTTAAATGAAATTGAAAAGAAAATGTCAGCTACTTATGAAGGGATGCTGCAATACTATACTTCTGATTGGGTAAGACTAGATTAAGGGTATATCTCTTAATCTATGAGTGTAAATGAGTGCTTTTTTATATATACTATTAAATCAGATTCTTGAAAAGGGTACGCATTCCGAGAGATGAAACCTGAAATACATATATTAGAACCGATCTGAGACTTAAGATAAGGATACCTCAGAATTGGAATCAAGTGGGTACTGTGCCAACTTGAGGCTTTTAAGAAAGGCTATATGTTCCTTCTCTTCAAATCTGCAGTCCCAGTTTTACTTATCCTTGGGAGTCCAAGTCTCCTTGGTTGATGTAAAGAAATATTACATTTTCTTAAGTTTTGACAAATGTCTTTCTTTACATTAATTTAATGTAGTGATATAAAATTATATTACTACACTGGATGAATTGATAGATTACAATAGTTGGATTTATACTACAGCCATAAGACATCTTGGGTAAAACCTTCTAGCATTAAAACGTTTTACAAATGTAATGTAAATCCTCATTTCTACTAAAATGTTTTAGGACCCCAGTCATAGCCAAGACATCTTAGCGTTAACATTTTTTAAAGCGAGTGTAAATCCATCGGTTTTAGCTAAGAGCTCTTAGCCGGGTTTTGTACTTTATGCTGAATGAAAATATTGAAACTCTCTGCTTAAATTTGTCACATGGTCCTTTCTTTTGTCTTAAGTTCCATTGTTCCCAATATTGTCTCAAAATGTCTCATTTTTGCCTGGTGTTCTTTCATATTCCTAATATGCGCACCAAATCATGCTGCTCTCTTTCGTGCTTTTAACAATACTCAATAAACTCAATCATATTTCATAAGACATCTTGAAAATGCTGATGTAAACACAACATTATTTTTCTAAAACAAATTAGCCAAGATGTCTTAGAATGTCACGTGTAGTGTAAATGGGGCTATTGTAGAAGAAATCTGGCCAACAATCTAATGAAACAAAAAAGTGATTTTGAGGATTGAAATTTGATGACATTTATTTCTGTTTATTAGGCACTTAAATACTAGGGTGTTTTTTAGAAAGACATGGTTTCTGTTGCTCTTTGTTCTTCTGTTTAAGGTGCTTTCAAATACAGAAATAGAAATAACATGTTTTCATTTGGTATTTTTATTTACTTCAACTATGTTGTATTGTATGTTCCAAGATTTGCAAACTTTTCTATGATTGCTGTGATGAACCTCATTTGTGAACTTCATAAGTGTACACTTAATTTCAGTTGATGCAGAGCTGAAATCATGATTTAAACTCAATGATGAATATGAATAAACAGTAGCTGATTTCTTTGTTTGAAGATTTAGCTTTGTGATTTTGACATGTAAAGTGATATAGGCTGACTAGGTATATCAACACTATATTTGACCTTGCATCCAGTTAGTTTTCCTTGGTTCAAATTTTAATTACAAATATTTATATTTTTTGTGACTGGTGTTTTTTGGTGTATTTATGTATCTGGGTGAAGGTTACTCAATAATTGTTGAACTTATATTGGGGAGGGGGGGATTTTCAGGAATTGAATGAGTTGGATATAATGAAACAATCAAATTAAACAAATACACTAATTACCCTGATAGGAGGTTTTTCCCTTATAGAATACTGTGTGTTGGCTTTAGCTTCGGGTCATATTCAGCCAGTGCTACTAGTAATAAAACTTAAAAACTATTTTGTATTTGTAATTATCGAAATATAATATCTTAATTACATCTGTGGAAAGCTTAATTAAAGGTTCCACAGATACTTGTAATTAATTTTAAATTGTCTTTCAAGGTTTTAATTTTTTGTATCCCAAAGGGTATATTTGAAGAATGTTATCCTAGCATATCAGTAAAAGAGGTGTTTTATTCCCATTGATCATGTGGCATATTGCTCAAATCTGATTTGATGAACTGAATCACATGGCTCAGCTGGGGTGTATTGATAGGGGTGTCTTCTGAGGGTATAGTATACAAAGTACAAAGCAGATGGATTCTTCATGACAGGTGTTCTTATTACTATGTATACTCTTTGTAATAGCTCAGCTTCAAATATACACTCTTGAAAAAGATCTCCCATTTTGAAGCCTAATACAAATCAGAATATGTAACAGAGAGGGAGACACACAACACCACAATGTGTGTCCCCATATATAGCTAACATTCGTATCACATTGAAATTCTTATAAGATCTCATCAGAGGGCAATATGGCTAGTTGATGGGGATAAAGGATATTTAAGGTATGGCTTAGTTAATACCAGGTAGAGTTCACCTGTGGGTAAAGACCCATATTATTACTGATTCACTGAAACAGACAAATATGGATCAGGAACCCTTTCCTGGTGTGAATATAAGAGGAAAATGTTGACCTGGTGACGGAAAAGTGAACTAGAAAAAAGGATCATTTGTAATATAATATTTGTATAAATGTGAACATCTTACAGTATGTTTCCAATCATCAAATGTTTAAACTTGAGACTACATTCTTACTCAGCTTAAACTTAAAAGATGTCTCAATCACATTTATATCAGACTCAATTCAGATAGTCACATTTACTTTACATTCACACAGGTATCTCATCCTCCTCACTTTATACATCTTCATTTGGAAATTGAGAAGGGGGTTATAAAAGGCATATTTTCTTTAAAAAGTCTGATTTGAAAAAATTAGGCTTAAAAGGTCAATTCTAAGACCAAAATGAATAAAGGTCCAAACCTTGGAAAGTAGGAGGGGTTTCATTAATTTTTTTGGCAACAAGCTTGTCTCATGATTGCTATAAGTCAGGAATGGGACAAATCATCAGTGTTGGATCAGCATATCATGATTCCAGAAGGGTGGAAAGATAATTGCTCTCTTGAGAACATCAAGATGGTTTTTATATTGATCCCATCCTACCCTCAGCAAGAGCTCAACCTAGCTTGTACTCCTCTTTAGATGGAGCTAATATAATATACCTTATATTGAATCAGACTGCATATTCAGAAAGTCATTCCAATACATTGGCTGTTTCTTTATAAATAGTCACTCATTTCATATTCAAATTTATAAAAAGCCATGGGTGCTACGATCATGATTATTAAGATTTAATGTGCCTTTAAATACAACTATAGAATCATCTTCAGTACTGTACTCGAGGGAAATGTAGCTAAATGATTGAGTTCCAGTGTGATTTCTCATATCAAGCCTTGTTTCAAATAAAAGCAAGTTCTTGAAAATAGAAGTGAGCACTATGAGCAGTTAGTTGAATACGTAAGATCACAGTTGTTTATTTATATTATACCTAGGGTTTCCAAAGTATGAAGTTTCACATTGAAAGTCAAACTAAACCAGCATAAACCTTTGGATACTAGTACATTATTTATTTTTCCCATCTTATGATATATGAATAAATAATATGATAATCAATTTCATAAATGTTGTAATGTTGACCAAATTTGATTATATTCAAAACATATCCACTAATAATTTGTCCAAATTGGATTAATATTGCCACATTTCAGTCAATTTGGTGAAAAATTCTGTGACTTGTGTTCTCTCTACTTTGAGTACTCAAGAGGTTTTTAAGGGGTATGTTTTTTAAATGTGTTTATTCTAAATTATAACCACAGACTGTGTATATGTCTGAATATGGTTTTCTTTCATTGAAAGTGTGTTGTTTGTTTACTCAGTCTGTTAAGAAAGCTTGGAAAGAAATGTTCATTTTCTATGCTGTGTTATCCGGATTGATGTTTCATATGGATTTGTGGTTAGAATAATCGATTCACAACAATTGTGGCCCAGTTCCTTTTATATG